TTTTTTTAAGATTTTATTTATTTATTTGACAGAGAGAGACACAGCGAGAGAGGGAACACAAGCAGGGGGAGTGGGAGAGGGAGCAGCAGGCTTCCTGCGGAGCAGGGAGCCCAAAGCAGGGCTCGATCCCAGGACCCTGGGATCATGACCTGAGCCGAGGGCAGAAGCTTAACGACTGAGCCATCCAGGCTCCCCTATCAACTGACTTCTAACGCAAGTTTGTCCCTAATTGAAGTCCACATTTATGAAAAATGACAAGGGACTGTGGTGCTAATGTTTGTATAGAAATCAATAATTACAGAGCATCTATTACATGGCAGATAATTTTAACCTCTTAGTTAAATTAATCTTTAGAATAAGTTAGTAAAAGTGGACATTACCCCATTCTATAGGTGAGGAAATCAAGGCTCAGAGGGTCCACAGGTAATAAGTAGCAGACCCATAAATGAAATCCTGATCTGACTCGACAGCTTATTTTCTTTCTATGTCCATGCCATCATCCATGCCTTAGCAGGCTACAGAGCCCACAAGAATTAATTGAGAAGTACTTCTAAGAAAATTTCTGAAGAAATTCCTGCCATTATGGTGATACTGGCAAAAAAATTCAAAATTAAAAAGCACATATTTGAAAGACAAAACTTAGGACAGATAAATGAATCAGGAAAACACTTCTCATTACAATTCTTAAGGCAAGGTTGCAATTAATTCCTCAAGGAGACTTTGAAATTGCACTCTTTGAAATATTTTCATGGGCGCCTGGGTGGCTCCATCGTTAAGCGTCTGCCTTCGGCTCAGGTCATGGTCCCAGGGTCCTGGGATCGAGCCCCGCATCAGGCTCTCTGCTCTGCGGGGAAGCCTGCTTCTCCCTCTCCCATTCCCCCTGCTTGTGTTCCCTCTCTCGCTATCTCTCTCTCTGTCAAATGAATAAATAAAATCTTTAAAAAAAAATAAAAAATAAAATATTTTCTTTCTCTTATTAAAACATGGTTTTCTTTTCCCTCCAGGTTATTAGCTTGTCTAAGCAGGAGAATAACAGGAGGGCTGCACTGTTAGCACCTATTCTTTCCATCAAATGTAAAGGACAAGGGGCGCCCGGGTGGCTCAGTCGGTTAAGTGACTGCCTTCAGCTCAGGTCATGATCCTGGAGTCCCAGGATCGAGTCCTACATCGGGCTCCCCACTCAGTCGGGAGTCTGCTTCTCCCTCTGACCCTCCCTCCTCTCATGCTCTCTCTCTCTCATTCTCTCTCTCAAATAAATAAAATCTTTACAAAAAAAAATGTAAAGGACAATTAGGCCTAGTAAGATTTAAGACCAGTTAGACATGTGCGGGGTTCTCTCTACCCACGTTCCCCAGCACCCTCACTCTTCCAGAGCAGGCTCTTGCAAGCTCATGACTGGCCAAACCACATCCCTCGTCCAGTGCCTTGTATCTTCAGACCCGTATCTTAAACTTCCATACAGATCAATATTTTCAAATAGAACTCATCACAGCCTTCTCTAGACATGCTACCTCCCTTATTTATTCTCCTGTTGGTGGTACCATGATCTGATACCAAAGCAGGAGAGTTATTGACTTCCTCTCCTTATCCCAACATCCTGTTTGTTTACCTCCTAAATGCTTCTGAAATCTGCCTATCCTCTCCATTCCTGCTTTATGCTGGTACAAATGCCTTCATTGTTCTTCTCGGGGCTACCATAAAAGCCTCTTAACTTAACCCCACCACCAGTCTTACACAGATCCATGCTCCTTCTCATAACTTAAGAAGAATGGATAAAGGAGTTGTGTGTGTGTGTGGGTGTGTGTGTGTATACACACAGTGGAATATTACTCGGCCATAAAAGGAATGAAATCTTGCCATTTGTGACAACATGTTGGACCTAGATGGTATTATGCCAAGTGAAATAATACAGAGAAAGACAAATACCATATGATTTTACTTATACGTGGAATTAAAAATCCAAATGAACAAATGAACAGAAACAAAAAGACTGTTAAACTCAGAGAACAAACTGATGGTGGCCAGGGGAAAGGTGGGTGGTGCGACAGGTGAAATAGGTGAAGGGCGTTAAAAGATACAATCTTCCAGTTACAAAATAAATAAGACATGGGGATATAGGGTACAGCATAGGGAATATAGTCAATAATATAACATCGTGTGGTGACAGTAACTACAGTTACCATGATGAACACTGAGTAATGTATAGAATTGTTGAATCACTATATCGTACACCTGAAACTAATATAACACTGTGTGTCACCTATACTTCAGCAATAAACAAAAAAATTAAAATAAAAATCATCCAGAAGAAATCTGACCAATTCCCTAAAACTGTTCAATGACCTCTACCCTCACAACCACATCCCAAGTAAAGGAATTATTTAAAACCCTACAATATATGGGGCGCCTGGGTGGCTCAGTCAGTTAAGTGTCTGCTTTTGGCTCAGGTCATGATCCTGGGATAAAGCCCCCGCATAGGGCTCCCCGCTCAGTGGGGAGTCTGCTTCTCCCTCTACCCCTCCTCCCGACTCGTGCTTGCACACACGTGTGCTCTCTCAAATAACTAAGATCTTTTAAAAAGTAAAATCCTATAATAAAGTAGAACACTTTACACAATCTAGGCCTTGCCCAGGTTTCTATTTATCCACCTCTACTCCTGATATTTTTTGCAGATTCAGTGCAAATTCTCATCTCCCTACCCTTGCTCATTTTGGTTCCTCTGCTTAGAATGTTTCTCTTCTTTACCCCCTTTATCTCCTTCATCTTACCCATTCCCAATATTACTTCATGACTTAACCTTGATGTAGCTGCCCCTAAAAAAGTATTTCCTAGGTTTCCTATACCCCCTGCTTTCCTCCATTTCCTGTCCTGTCTCCAGCTAGGACTGGGTGTCTCTCCTCTCTGACCCCACAGCATCTTGTGCATACAGAATTAAAGCTATTATTTATTGAGTACTTTTTATGTGCCAAGGGCTGCTCTACAGAATTTGCATGTGCTCTCCCACTCTCAAAAATTTGGACAGTTCATAAGTTGAGAAGGTGGGACTCAGTATCAGCTACCATACTGTTTTAATATTATTTGTAATTGTGTCTATTCTGTTCCACAGACTGAGCTACTTAAAGAGAGGAAATCCAATTCTCATTTGTATTCCTAGTGCCTGATACAAGCAACAAATTGTTGTTGGATGGGTTAGTGGCTGGAGAAATAGCTCCTGTTGCAGCAAGAACGTACTCGATTGGAATCTAGCAGATGGGGAGACAGGGTTTAAATTCTAGGTCATTATTCACCAAATGAGCCTTAGCTTGGAGAAGTCTAAGAAGAAATATCATAGCTGCTCTTAAAGTCTGGTCTCAGGGTCAAAAGGGTGTAAACTTCTTTGTTGAGTCCAAGGAAGGAGGAAGCTAAACAACCAGAAATTAGAGATGGAGAGAGAGATTTTGGTTCTAAGTAAAGGGGGTTAAAGGGGATGGGTAATGTTTAGGGCAATCCCACAGTGACGTAACCAGCCATGCCAGGAGATGAACACTTCATCACTGGTACTCTTCAGAAAATAGTGAGCTATTTGTCAAAAATGTGGTGAAGGGATGAGTCTGAGGAAAAGACATAGGCATTCATTCAGCTTCCTCTGGAATGTTCACTTATGACAGCCCTGTGTAGCAGAAATTCCATGTTCTTTAATGTCTCTACATGCATAAGAAAGACATACTTAGTGTCATATTTTCAGGTATTTTCTAAAAGTAACAGGTTGAATGATTTAAAAGGAATGAGATAGAAATGTATCCGCCCTCCCCATCATGCAGTGAGTTATTTCTGGCAACATGAAGAGCTGTTCCGAATGGTCTTCAGCAGTTTGTAATTGCTAACCAGCCTACTCCTGCATGACACAGACAGACTGACAGGGCAAAGCTGCTGTGACACAAACCCTGTCCTCAGAAGGCTTGCCTTCTATGAAACTATACAGTCTTTAATTATTTTCCAATTCCAACAAGAAAAGTAAAATATTACCAGTCTAGTGTCTAATAGCTGAGGCCAACATTTAAAAAAAAAAAAAAAAGGATCTAGTTTTCCACTTGGTCTGAGTTTCAAAACCTAAAAGCCTGAGGCAAGGAAGATTAATATTTTGACTATTAGTCACAACTGTTTCATCTGCCACTTTTTACTAGAAAATGAAAGTAATAACTGTCTTTGTCTTCATGACACTACACTATGTCTAGAGGTCTAGGGAGCTATAAAAAGCCCCTAACACTAGGCACTTGCAGAAGTTAATCCGACGGATCTGGTGACCTAAGGAGAATTTCACTAGTTAGAAAAGCAGAGTTAGATCAAAGACAGTCCATAGCAAAGTCTTCTAAAATGTGCCAAA